TACTGATTTTTTTCTCAGATTTGAAAAAAAATCCTATTCTGTATATTGTTTTGTAAAATGAATATAACTGATGCCATAATTTTCAGAAAAAATGAACAATTTAAAAAAAAAGCGCTAATTGACAAATCCACACAATAAAAAAAAAATATTTTTTATTTTGACACTTTGAAAATTTTTGCATAAGAAGGTCAAAAATTTAACATTCTAATTTCTGTTTTCTGTTTTAGTCCTTAGACTGAAAGAAAAATCCCAAATCCTTAACAAATTAAAAATTGAAGGTGACAAATTGATTTTATGAAATATCATCATGGGTTCAGCTTTAACGAATGATAAAGGTAAAAGTTATATCTATTTTATTTGGATACAAAACTTGTAATGATTCCTCATTTTAACATGTAAAGTGTTTGCATTTTCATCATGAAAATCTTTCTATTAATTGGCTCAGTATTAAAACAAACCATTTATAAAAAAAATTTATTAAAATAACTATGGAAAGCAGGTTTTAAAAAAAAAACAAGAAATTAATTAAATTATTTATTTAGTGATAAAGACTTCTACTATTTGCCATGTTCGTTCACTGTATTTGGCATACGTTCGTAATCTGTCTAAGACCTGTCTAAATCATGACTAATTACCAACAAATACGATTTCATTGATTCACTGAAACCATCTACCTTGGTGTGAAAAGTAAAAAAAATTCTTTAAAATTTTTGTAAAAAGGGAAATGTAAGTATTTCTAATTAAAATTAAAAAAATTTTTAATAAAAAATTCATTATTTGAAAAAAACTCTTTCTTAAGATTAATTTTTATATCTTGTGCAAAAAAATAATTAAAATTTTTCTAATTAAATAATATCTTTGGTTTTATTTTCAAAAAAATTTCATTTTGGAATGATTTTTTTTCAGTAAAAAGATTTTTTATATTAAAATTCCTTTTTTACAAAAAAAAAACCCCAAAAAACAATTTTGGTTTAAATTTTTCATTTTTATCTTTGTAACTAACGTAAACATTAATTTTTCAATTATTTTCTCGAAATTTCATAAAATTAATGTTTAATGTAACAGATGTAAAAAATTATTTACCAAAATTTTTTAAAAAAAACACTTCTGAAACAATTTAATTTATTTCTGAATAGGTCCTGAAAATTTCATTAAAATCCGACAATTATTTGATTTTTGCAAGAATTTCCAAACAATGTGTTTTTTTGAAAAAGACGACAAAATTAATAATTTAATTTATGGTCACTGCTTTGAAAGAAAAAACGATTTTTAACCTAAAATATTCTCGGTTTAAATAACTTACAAAAAATTTAATACGTTTTTTAAATATCAATCGATATTAACGATTTTATTCGCCAAATATTAAATTTTATTTCGAGATTTTCATAGTTTTTATACGTTGTTCTTCATCAAAGAGAAAAATTAATTTAAATACAATTTCAGGCTTATTAAAAACATTTGCTAATTTTAAAAATTATGTCCGACTAAAAAAATAAAATGTTTCTTGATGTAAATTATCGATGAACAAATTTAAAATTACCACTTCGGGTTCTCATATTCCAATATAATTCTTTTTGTTTCCTTTCCCTTCTTAAATAGCAAGAGTTAGCTGCAGTTTTTTCAATGAGCCAGACTTTTGACAACTTTAATTTCAAAATAGTTTAAAACGGGTAAACTAATCCGTTAAAACCTATTTTAAGACCACAGCAAATTGCTTTAAACTTTTCTCTAATACTAATTCAGTTTACAAAGTTTAAAACAAAATTAAAACGAAAACTTTATTGCTTTTTTTTTAGAGTTTGCATTTAGAATTAACATTTGGTCGAAGACTTTTTTAATTATTTTTTTTAGGTAGATACAAACAAAAATATTTTTAAATTACAAAACCGACAAATTTTATACTACGTCTTTTGAAAAAAAATATATCCGTAATTTTTTAAAAAATATTTTAGTTTAAAATTTTGCTCTATTTCCTGGTGGTGAATAAATGAATAACGACTCCAAATGAGAAATAATGCCGAGTTCGAATTTTAGTCGAGATTTTCAATTTACTTAAGGTGAAAATTCCTTGGAAAAGGTATCGCCTTTTTTTTTTTCCTACAAATTTTTTAATGATCTCTTTTATGGTTGGCAATTTAAATATGAGAAAATCGTTAACTTTAAATTTCAAACTGTAATGAAAAAAAACCATTTTCGTTGCATTTCACCTATGAGACATCGGCAGCATTATGTTGAAAGTGTAAAAGACTTTTAATTGAATCGCTCGATTTAATTCAAGTCATAGACACATTAACTTTCTTCCTTAATCAGCCTCTTATCAACCTCAGTCAATTGTGTACCATAATTGTTCGTGAAAAACTTAACTCTTTTTTTGACATTATCAAGGTACCCAATAGGCAATTGTACATTTAATCAACTTTTAGCATATCAGTCAAACCCAAAGAACCTTCATAAAATTGAATCAACCCATGTTTAAATTGTCACACAAATATACTTAAAATTATTTGAACTCACACAATTGACATTTTACCTTGCAGAAATCAAAGTGTTTTGTAATTTCAGGAAAAACATAAACCATTAGGTCATTCAACAAAAAAAAAATGGACAACTCTTTAACAATTTTATCTTTTCTCAATGTTTAAAATAAGAAACCTAAATCACTTTTGTAATGTAAATATATATATAAAATTCATGTTATTATTTGAAATCTATAACTACGTTGTTTTTTGTTGTATTGTCTTCATATGTTCGTTTAATTTATTTGTTATGGATAAATGCATAATGGACACACACATTTGATTTTCACACAATTTCATTTTCATGAAACATCTACTTAGTTTAAATTTTGCAACAAACTTTTTATTAAATTTTGATATTAAACCAACTTTTTATTTTCATGATTTGTTGAAAAATCATTAAATCCGATTTTTTTATTGATAAGATGGGTCTATTTTTAGCAAAATATGAATTTCTGAATTTATGATTAGTATTATAAAAAAGAAAAAAAAAATAAAATTCATTTTTCCAGGGAAATTTATTTTTTTTTTCAACTTTTTTTAAATTCAATTTTGTAAAACTAATTGCTTTCACTGTTTTTCACTAAGTCTCTCATCAAATATATTATAATTAAATTTATTTTTTTAAAATTTTTTTTAATTTTTTTTTTTTGTGTTCAAAGTTTAAAAATAAACTCAAATTTTTTTTTATTTACAGCTTATAATTACTAAAACTATTTAAAAACTAAAAAAAGGTTCAATAAATCATTTTTTCTCATATATTGGACATGGAACGCCAAATAAACTCTATCTTGAAAAATGCAAAAATATGTCCTTTTTTATTTCAAAAATTATCAGATTTTGAAACCAAGACATCGAGAAAAGTTGTTTCAATTTTTAACTGATGAACTAACAATCTAAGGGAATAAATTTGAGTCATTTTTTGTTTTGCAAAGACAGGGTCCAATCAAAACCAAAACGAAGAATCCCTGTTTGATGGGTGGGGACTTATAAAACGTCACTCAAAAATATAAAACTTGGAAAAATACTTTCTAGTTTTTACTGTTTGATAGCTAAAATGTGGCTTGATTTTTTTATTTGTTTTTAGTAAATATTTTAAAAAAATTTTCAATGAAACAATTCAAAACTAGAATGTTTTAACTGCATGCCTAAATGCAAAGGAGATGTAAAAAAAGAATACATTTCCAATTTTTCGTAAAAATTTTTTAATTTTTTAATATATTTTTTTAAAAATGAAAAAACGCATTCTTGAAGATTTTTTTTTTAAATTTAATTTTCATTTAAAACCGATTAAATTTTCTCTTTTCAGTAATTAAAATACTCCATTATTTCAAATAGAAATTTTAAAAAATTGAATATCAAATATTTGGTCGATTTGATCTGTTTATTAAATTTTTACTTACATTTAACAAGTTTTAAAATTAATTTAATTATAGCTTTTTAAAATAAACCAAAAAAAAAATTATATTTTTTCATTTTTGTTTAAAATTTGAAAATTTAAAGTTAAATTCATCCGATCTGAAATGTAATATTATTTAGATACATCTTAATTAGTCTTTATGTAGGAATCCTTCTACTCGGTTTTTCGTTGAATGTTAAAATTTGGAGTGTCGGGATTCAATACATTAACAAAATATCGTTACAGGGTCGCTCGTAATTTGGCCGCCTAGAATAATCAAACGCTTTTCATTGAAGGAATAAAATTCACTAGAAAAGACGACGTAGTTTCAACAAATAAACATTTAATTTAATATAACGATAGGAATACAAAAAGTTGATAATAGATTGGAAAGTAATGTCTTTTGTTTGGGTTGATAAAGTTCTGAAATAAAATATAAACTGTCTTTGTGTACGCGTGTGAGAAACAATAAAATGTGATATGAGTGTTTGTGTGAAAAAGTCAACATGTGTGTGCGTGATTCATAATAAAAAAGGATACTAGAGATACGAATTGTTTCTTACTGTTGGCGGTGTTGCCTTGATCTGGAGTTTGTCAACGCTGTCGTTTTTGACATGAGGTCATGAAGGTCATCGGCGAAAGGTGTGTGTAGCTTGCTGGCAGCCGCGTGTATATTGTTTTGGGAACGGATTTCGTATGATTCTATACACTTTTTCCGAACAATATCGGCTCCAGAATTAAATTATTTATTTATTTCTAATTGGCCCTAAGAAGTCACGTGGTATGTCTTCTACTATGTCCGTACGATATTTGGTCGGTATCTACCTAAAAATAATTATGACTAATACAACAAACATTCTGATTTGTAATCTATGATTTTATTGGTGTGTTTTCTTTTTAAGATGTAAGTGAGTAAGTGTTTTCTTGAGTGTGATTGGTTTATAAATATTGTAGTTGATATTTTAGTGGACACGACAGACTGATGAATTTATCTCTAAAGGTGTTTCTAATGTGTCTTCATGTGAAGTGAACCTATTGTGTTGGTGTATTTCTGGAGTTTCTGCGTATTTCGTGATGAGACTGCTATGGCTCGAAACGTCGGGGTTACCACTTTGTCGTGGAGGCGGAAATGGGTAACCGAGTTGACAGAATCTTGTTGTTACTGTTGTAGAAGTTAATTCCTTCTTCGGCTCGTCAAGCGTAAATTCAATGAAAAAAGAATACATTTTATTTTAAGTAGAGCAAATAAATGTATAATTTATTTACAATCAAAACTAGTAACTTTTATCATCTTTTGCTGTTACTAAGGCAACAAGTAAAAAAAGAGAATGATGAAATTAGACATTGCTGATGGCTGTTTTGTTTCTTAGCGTGTTGATGTTGACATGAAGGGTGGTTTGTGTCTCTCAGCTTGTCCAAGAGTTGATTTTTTTTTTAATTAGACAATATAGCCATTGTTTGACTCCGAATTAAAGTTTTGCTTTTATAAGCGGAAGTGGCTCTGACTGGTCAATAAATTGTTCGTTCTATTTTGGTTAAGAAGCAGATGTATGCGCGAAGCCTATGCCCAGAAAACGTATTTACTCAGTCTGCTTTTAGGTCGTCGAGTGGTTAGCATCCAGTTTGACTCAAACTGTTTGAGTAGAAAAAATGTAAGAAGCAAATCAGGTACAATGAGTGACTGTGCTAATGTTTTAAAATGTCTAGAAACTTTTATTTACATACGTAAATTTCTTTTTCTTTTTATGGCTTAGCTGTGTAGACTATTATATTATCATTAAAATAAAATTAAAATTTAACTTCAATAAAGAAAACATTTTTAAAATGATTTTTCTTTTTTTTTTTTAAGGTACTCCATTGTGGTACCTCAGAAGTGTGTCACAACATATTATTTTTGTGTTGATTTTGTTTGGAAAATCTGTAAAAGATAAAATCAGAATAACAAGATATGGAAATGTTTTGATTCATATCTTTTACCAAAGCTGGAGATATAACACAAAGTCAAAAATTGGAAACTATTTTGTTTGTTAAGTTTGAGTTTCAAGATCAGACAACTTAGTGTGTCAAGGGAGGTAACTCTTGTTTTCGTATCCTGCCAGGAAATTGATATTATTACGGATTCTACTGATGTCAGTAAAAACAGTAAGTCTTTTTCTTTTCTTTATGTTTTTTTAATCTTCTAAAAAGATCTCGCAAAATTTGTAAACTTTTCTCTTTGATCATTAATTAATATTGATTTTTTAGCAATCACGAACAATCTTTAATCGACTTATGTTCAGAGCACATGTATTTGACATTAGTGGACGCCTAAAACGGTGTTGGATGAAAATTGTTTCCCTTAAAAAAATGGTTTATGTAAATGTTTACATTTCTTTAACGAATTAAAAATAGAAAACGACTTTCCAATAGATCAGAGAAAATTAAATTTGAATTTGTCTGTCTTATGCACCAATTACAAAGATTTTTGCTTCAAATTAATTTTCTTTGAAATAAATTATAAATAAAATTTTTAAAATGTTGCAATTTAAAATTAATAATTTACACAAAAGTGGCGCTGTTTTTCATCCTCAACAGCAAAATAAATTATTTACTTTCTATTTACTTTTTTTTAACATTTTTTCTGAAAGCAGAAAATCAATAAAATCAATATATTTTTAAAAATTTAATAAAAATAGAAGAAGCAATAATATATGCCAAAAATAAAATATTAATTAACATTTTGAGTTTTTGACTTTTTGTTGCTCTCTATGACATAAAACCATTATTTCTGACGGAGCCAATCAATCAATTCTCTCTAACTGTTCCAATATTTTGTTAATTTTCTTTTCTGACACTAAGCAGATGTTATTTTTTTTTTTTAATATAAATCATTCTACGTAATCTTAATTTTTTAAAGTTTTAAACAAGAAATGACGCTCTCCCTTTTTTGGTTAATAATTGTTTTGTGTTTTTTGGTAATTAAAATTAAAAACATTTAAAAATTTTATTAATGTTTTTAATTTTAATAAAATATTTTTTAAAACCTTAAAGTACGCAAAAAAGGAAAAGTATTTTTTCACGACAAATGCGATTTTCTTGCAATTAAGTTAAAAAAAAAAAAACCAAAACATTCTGAGCTGACGTAGCCAATCAATCGAGACCATGACCAGGAAGATAATTGTTAAAAAAAAATAATTTGATAGAACTTGTGATTTGATGACAGAACAGAACTAACAACCAACACGTGAAACGATGTTTTGTAGTAAGTTTATCATTTTAAAAAACTATTTCTGCTTTCTTTATCTTACCAAACACTGATTTATCTTTCCTTTTTTTTTTATTTTTTTTTTTATATCTATTTATTTTTAATTAGCCTCAAATTCTGGGCTATCGGAAAATAAAAATCATTTTCGTTATGTAGAAAAATCGTTTAGAGCAGTAACATGGAAATGAAATTGAAAAATAGTGTGAATTCAGGAAAGCAAAAAGTGATCGTGACAAGAATTGTTTCCATCTTTTTATGAAAGTATATAAAATAAATGTACATTGTACAGGGACAATTTCTTTTTTTTTCAGATGTGAAAAAACTGTAAAACAAGAACGTTCTTCCTGCTTCTGTGAGCATAAATTGAAAGTAGATACCTTCACAAAAACGTGGTACGGGTAACTAACGTTTAAAAATGAAAAAATCTTTCTTGAAAATTTTATTTTAGTTTTAATTTCAAGCTAAGCAAAATATTTTAATTTTACTCAATTTTATGTCAAAACTAAAAAATTGATTTTTTGCTTAGAAATGTTTAAAAGTCGCTGCCACCTGCGATCACAATGTATTATTGTTTTTTTTTTCTGAAACATTATTTAATATTAGCTGATTTTTAATTAATCTGATTTAAAACAAATATTTAGTTTAAAATATCGCAGAAATGCATTTATTTAAGACGTAGGTTGATGTTTCAACTTGACTAACAAACGGAAATTTATCTATTTTTTTTTTTTTTTACAGTGGACATATCTGTAAAAAAATTACTTGTGGAATATAACGTGAGCGCCTTTTTCTATAACTATCCAGTAATCTTAAAAAATTAGGAAAATGTTCTCTGTAAATGTACTTTGGCTTTAATAGTTATTGCTCTTATTTTTCTGATAATGTTGTGTATGAAGGTCCATATTTACAAAAACCGGCATGTTTATACACACACGCAGAAAAAAAAATTTTGAAACTCTTTTTAAAATATTGAGGGTCGCTGAATTGTAGTAAGCTTTTCCATTTATGATTAGTAAATAGTTTTTACTTAATAATAATATCACCTAACCAGTACAAATTAATACAGAAATTTAAAAGATTCCGAACTATATAAATTATTCTAATTAAAATTTAAAAAAAAATGAAATCAGTTCTTGTAAAAGTTCATTATTCACTGAATTTTTTTTTTCTCAAAACAATAATGTCTATTCATAAAAGCAATTAAAAGCTTCTCTAATTAAATAATATTTTAGTTTTATTGCATTTTTATTTTATGATTCAGAGCAGATTTTCAGTAACTGAGGGTCTTGTTTTAGAAAAAAAAAATAAAGAGTTCTGCATATAACTAATATAAACATTAAGCAGTACAAAAATTAATTTCTCAAAATGCCATAAATTAAATAAGTCTGGTAGGGACTAACAGATGTATAAAGAAAAATATGTTTCTACAAAAGACACATTTCTAAAATAATTTCATTCATTTGTGAATAAATCCCCAGGTCTCTATCCTTGGAACAATTCTGTTTCTCATCTTCTTCAATGATCTCCCCAATGTCATCATTTCTCAACTAGGTATTTACTTGAGAAGAGTATAGAAAGTTGAAATAGACTTTAGAAGGACCCAGAAAGCCAATTCTAAACAGGAAACAAAGGATAAACCTTTACTCTCTCTTGCTAAGGAATTAGAATTGGATGCTAGATGAACATATCCCAATTCTCTTTTATGACTATGGTGTCTACATTCATTTTGTGTATCTGGAACTTTTGAAAGTTTCATTGTCAGCAGCATGACTTAAAAAAAATTAGAATCCGTCAGAAAAAAAATTCCTTTGTATCAAATGAAGTTAAGCTTAGTAAATATCAGTAACAATCCACAAATATATTTTTATCCACCTCAAGCAAGATGATGATGCTACTAGTACACAAGGAGTTACTGAGAGTGAAAGAGAATGAGAACATTTTATTGAGGAGAAAGGACAATAAAAGAACAGAGTTTCAGAAAGCTGGAAGATGGCAATTGGTGTTACATTTAAATTTTTGAAGATTGTAGGTGGGAGGGAAGCAAGAAATCAGAAGGGTGTTCCACAGGTAAGAGGTGTGAGAAAAGGAACTATTACAATAGAACATGGTTGCATCTAGGTAGTTACCTAGTTCAGCAGTAAAATGGTGAGACCTAATTTCTAATCTAGTAACACACTTAAATTCATACAATCAAGGCATGAAAGTGGATCAGGATAATTGCCACTAAAATGCCTGTAGAAAACTCAGAGAGAAGCCACATAATTACAGTGAGAAAGTGACTGAAGTTGAGATGCCAGATTAGGATTGATTACCTTACAGACCCTTCTTTGAATTTGTCAAGAATCTCAAGAAATATAATAGGTTCACCAGATCTGCAGGAATATTCAATGCACAGGTAGATTTATAAATGTGCAATATGGAATCTGACCAGAAACATTGGCATAACAAAATGAACTAACATTCTAAGCAGCAGACCAAGCAATTGATTCAGTAGAATCACTCCACTTCATGTTAGGGGAAGATGTGAGGCAAAGCGTTGATTTCTGGGAGGTTAGCATTAGCCATACTGATGGCAGGCAGAAAAGGTTTTCTTTGATGTTTAAATGATAGCAGTTTTATTTTGGGCGTGTTCAAATTTCCAAGCTGTTCCTTGCTCTAGTTAATCACTGATTGGAGGTCTTTTTCATGAGCATCTGCTAGTTCTACTTTATCAAACCTGTCAGATAATAGTTGTGTCATCAGCATAAATACCTAGTTGGGAACTGATGAAAGTTATTGATGAAGATAAGATACAATGTAGGTCAAAAGATAGAGCCCTGTGGATCTCTGCATTGATGTGAGATGAACTAGAAGTGTGTCCATTTAACATAACCTTCATTACATGATTTGTTAGGAACAGTTACATTATGTCAAATATTCATCCAGAGGCACTATAACCCTTGAGCTTGTGGAGAAGGCCAGCATGCCAAACCTTGTTGAATATCTTCAAGATATGTAAAACCTCTTATGTAGGAATAAAGTGTCGCTGCTGACACTGGAGTTTGAAGACAGATCACAAGAGAGCAAACACAGGTGATCCCATTTTGTATAAGTAGATCACATGATGGTAAAAGAAATGTATATATGGGAATTAGTGTGGCGTCTAAGTGATCGCTATATGGATTAACATTTGGTGGTTACTACTCGAGTGCGTACGATTTGTGCGAATTTTATTCAAAATGCATCTGATTGTTCAACAGTGTTACTGTAGTTGTATCTATGATTACAAAGTCTCTACTACAATGAGATTACAAAAGTAACAATGAGTATTCGTTGACATTACAAAAGTGGCAATGAGTGTTCATTGACATCAGCGACAAGGATTCCTTGAACTTACATAAGGATTTTTTCAATTTACATGAGGGAAAAATTAATCAGCAAAATATTCAGCAGAGTACAGTGGAATGGAAGAATTAAAAGCTATCATGGTTCAAATGTTGCAGCAACAAAAAATACAACAAGAACAACAATTGCAGCAACAAAAACAACAAGAACACCAATTACAATTAAACTACAACAACAAAAGTCAGCAAATTTGTGTACAATCCAGATGAAGGGATTTCCAGCTTATTATAGAAGATACGAAGGGATCTTGAAAAGGGATATTGTTCACATTGGAATGATGAAAAGAAAATGCAGTTATTATTAATGAAAAAACCAGGACAGATAAATTTTGGTGAGACTGTTCTAATACCATCAAAAATTTTTGGTGATAGGAGTTCATTATTTAATACACGATGGCAATGTCTTAACTTAGTAAAGTTTGATGATGAAGATTTTGTCACTTATGCAGGAGTCGTGAATCAAGAATGTGAAAAGTTCAAGTTAAATCAATTATCTCCTGATTTATTTAAATGCCTGATATTCATACAGGGTTTAATTTTTAATAAGGACATGAAGATAAGATCCAGGATACTTGCTAAATTAGAAATGGATCCCAAATTAACTCTCCAGGAAATAGTGAAAGAGTATCAACATATCGTGAATTTGAAACATGATACCACAAGGATTGAGAAAAAAGTCGATTCACAAGTACATAGTGTCCAACCATCTAAGAGAAAAAACTACAAATGTTTTTCAACTCCTAACAGAACAGGAAAAAAAGACTATGAATCCCCCTCAATGGCTAATACTTTCCACGGTTGTGGAGGTAAGCATTTTAAAAGTTGTTTCTTTAAGAACAAAAAAATGCTATGAATATGGGAGATTAGGACACAAAAGGACATGTTGCAGATACAAAAAATTGGATAAAAAATAGAACGTATGTGAACATGATAGATACATGGAGTAACGATAAGAAGCCTAAAAGGGAAATTATCAAGATATCTCAAAAGGGAAAATTTGTTTTTGTACAAATTAAAAAAAAAATAAGTAAAAATAAAACTGCAACTAGATACAGTATCTGATATCACTATTGTAAATGAACAGACATGGATAAAAATGGGTAAACCTAGTTTATTGACTTCTGATAAAGTTTTGCATGGAATCTCTGGAAAGAGATTGAACTTTTTGAGTGAATTCAGCTGTAATGTTTCTTTTGTGAAAAAAAACAAAAAAGTGGTGCTGTTTGTATTAAAGAGTACTGCTAATTTGTTTGGAACAGACTGGATTGCATAGTTTGATCTTTGAGACCTTCCAATTAACTCTTTTTGCAACAAGATAAATATTGTTACCCCCGGTACTAATACGGCAACTGAAAAATTGAAAAGTGAACTGAAAAAGAGTTTTCCAGAAGTTTTCTCAGAAGGTCTAGGGACATGCACGAAAGCAAAAGCTAAGTTTGAGTTAAACAATGTAACACTGACATTTAAGCCAAAAAGGAGTGTACCTTTTGTGACCTTAGATCCAATTATTAATGAATTGGACAGACTAGAAAAATTAGGTCTGATATCAAAAATAGACTATTCTGAATGGACATCACCAACAGTCTACATTAAAAAAAGGAATAATAAAATCTGTGTATGTGCTGATTTTTCAACGGGGTTAAATGAAAGTTTAAAACAACATAACTACCCGTTAATAAGTCGAGAGGAAATTTTTTGCCAAAATAAATGGAGGTAAATTTTTTTCTAAATTGGACTTGTCAGATGCTTATCTACAAGTACTGATGGACAAAGACTGCTCAAAATTATTAACACTCATAGAGGATTAAACAAATTCAATCAACTTCCTTTCAGTATAAAGGTAGCATCAAGTATATTGCAACAAATACTACACAAATATGAGGATGGAACAACTAAACCAATAGCTGAAAGCAGCTGCAGCCAGATAGAAAAGGAAGCATTGGCCTTCATATTTGTCATAAAAAAGTTTCATAAATTCATACATGGTAGAAAATTCATACTACAGACATCCTATTATCCATTATTATTCGTATATGGATCAAAAAAGGGTGTTCCCACACATACAGCGAATAGACTGTAGCACCAGGGAATTATCCTATTGAATTATAATGAAGTCATGCAAATGGATTGACTAGACTAATACCAAGATTCTGTGAACCACTTGAAGACACAGTAATTGTGGTAATAAGGGCCAAAAATGAAATTAATAACATATTATACTATATTGTAAGAGGACTGTCCATAAGATTGGAGGAAATAAAAATTAAGGCAGAAAAAGATGATTTATAATGAAAATGAAAGAGAAATTAAGATCTCAAAGAAAAAATATTGGAAATAATGCATTTTCATTATGTAATGATGTACTTATGTATGCAGACAGAGTGGAGATACCAGCATCATTGCAAAGACATATGTTAAAAGAATTTCACAGAGAACATCCAAGAATTTCTAGAATTAAATCTTTAATAAGGTGTTATACTTACTGGTCAAAAATGGATAAGGATATTGAAAACTTAGTGAAATCATGCAGAGGTTGTGCTCTGGCAGCAAAATCACTGCCTATCAAAATTCAACTTTGGCCAAAAACCAATATGACATGGTCCTTGAATACATATAGACTTTGCAGGACCATTAAACGAACCATACTATCTAGTGGTAGTCGATAGTTAGACTAAATGGCCAGAAATATTAAAATGTAGAAGACCGACTACCACAGTAACGATAACTTTCCTACACAAGATTTTTGCAAGGTTCGATGTTCCTGAGTCTATTGTTTCAGACAATGGGACTCAATTCACGTCTAATGAATTTAAGTTTTTTTTACAAATCATTAGCAATAGAACATATTAGAACTCCCCCTCATCACCTAAGATCAAATGGACAAGCAGAATGGTTTGTTGCTACATTTAAAAGGGCACTGAAAAAGTCAAGAGGGAGAGGAGTCTGATGAAGTAATGATTCAGCAATTTTTGAGTGTTAGTAGAATAACACCAACCCTGAACAGCGTGTCTTGAATGTCACCTGCTGAGTTGATGTTTACCAGGCAGATTAAGTTCGTTTTCAATAGGTTATTACCAGAATGCAAGGTGAGAGCATCAAGAAATAACAATACAAGTTGATACTTCAAACCTGTATTTTTTAAAATGTATCAGTACGAAAAGGAATTCTAGGAAGATGGTGTTATAAAAAAAATGGATCGGCAAAATGACATACATAGTACAGGGACAAAAGTGGGAACATAAGTGATGCCTTAATTAAAATGTAGATTCACTGATTTAAAAAGTTCCTGAAAAGAGGTACCAATGGAAATTCTGTATGACACATTTAACATACCCACACCATCAGAAATTGTTGAACCAAGGGTTTATGGCAAAAGAAAAAGAATGCCAACAGAATTTCTAACTATTGAACCTAAGCTGAAGAAGTATAGACTTTAGGGGAAGTCATTTCAAAGGGGAGGTGTTATATAGGAATAAAGTGTCACTGCTGACACTGGAGTTTGAACACAGATCATCAGAGAGCAAACACAGGCGTTCTTATTTTGAATAAGTAGATCATGTGATGGTAAAGGAAATATATATATAATAATTAGCGTGGCATCTAAGTGATCCTTGAATGGATTACTCTTTGGATCACTATTTAGTGGTTACTATTCGAGCAAGTATTATCAAGCAAGTACTATTAGTGTGAGTGTTATTTGAAGGCATCTAACAGCAGTATTTTCAACAGCGTTAATATAGTTGTATGTGCACTTACAAAGTCTCTACTACAATGAGCATTATGAAAGTGACAATGAGTGTTCGTTGATATCACTAAAAAACCACAGCCTGAACTTTGTCATTCTCTATAGTCAAATTAAGTGATTGATGTTAACACATTGGCGGTAGAAGCCATGTTTATCTGAAAGAAGAGGATTTCCAAAAAGCTGTAAGGTAAGAAGCAGTGAGACATTTATTGTAGAGTTTGGAGAGGACAGAAGCCAGTTCAGGAGCACATTTCTTTAGGACTGTTGCAAGGATACTGTCAAATTGACTAGCCTTGTGGGAATCTAGTTTAGGAATGATAGCAGAAACATTGAGTGGAGTTATGTACATATCACTCAGTAGAGACTCTATTTTAGGGGAAAATTCAGGTAAAGATATTCCTGATGAGTCAAGAGTGGAGTTGAAGGGGAATTTTTAAGCAAAGCATTTTACTTTATTTGCAGTAGATGATAATACTTCAAATTGATTGAAGACCGAAGACACTGAGGATTTGCTCTTATTCAGTACACTCTTACAGAGATGCCAGTAATCTCTAAAGCCAAAATTGTGTGAGGTTATATGGTATCTCATTGTCAATGAATACTAATTTTACCTCTTTGAGGACACACTTACAATCATTATGAGTGCTTACAAAGAGGCGTTTATTATAATTGGACCTCTCATGTTGGTATAGCCAGAGGAAGTGATTCCTATGGGCTACAGTGGCTGAACAGGCAGGAGACCAAGGAGAAGATTGTGATGTTGTTTTGATGCATGCTTTCAACTAGGAAGAGACCTTAGTGGCACATTTCTCAACAGAATGATTAAAAATATCATTCCAAGAGATATTGCAAAGAAAATCATGAAATGAGTCCCAATCAGTACTTGATAACAGGAAGATGTTCTGTTAATAGGGAGTTCTTACTTGATAGGTGAGCAAAGAAATATCTACAAATACTACCATGTGTTTCAGAGTTACACAGAGGAGAGTTGCAGAGAACAACATGAGTCTGGGGATGAAGTAAGGAAGAGATCAAATAATGAATCATATTCATTAGAATTACACAGTTAATGTTTATAAAATATATTGAGATATATATATATATATATACTTTTCACAGAGTGGCACATATGCTACACTAATTCTATGCAAAAGGGCCTATCCATATGTAAATAGCCCCATTTTTATGGATACTCTTCTAAAAATACTACTAGTAGTAACAACAACAATAATAATTATTATTAGTCAATCTGCATCATTCATCATATTGGCTACTTACATCAAAATGTTTTATTGAAATTATTCACTTGATGAGACACTCTTCAAACATCAGTCCGTTTGTACAATGCACACTCAAATGATTGTAAAAAATATTGTCTTTTTTGTATTTTTAGGTGGTTTGACAAAAGCTGACATTAAAAAGATGTTAACAAAAACAGTTCAGAAATTCAAGACAAAGTATTGTGCAGATTCTGTAGAATGGTGTCCACTTACAGACAATGAAAATCTTTTACTTGTAGGTAATTATCAACTTGTAGAAAACACAAGTGCAACAGACACACAGGTAAGGCTACTTACAATGCTGTTCCAAAATAAAAATGTCCTTTTCTTATTTATAATTGTTATTAGCATAATAAATGTACCATTAAAATGTTTATAAAATAAATATTTATTTTGATCCATACTACCTTTTAGTCAGTTTTTGTTTTTAATTTTAATCAGTTATTTGTTTTAAATTTAAAGCTAAACAGTTTTAAAAATGGTATTGAAGGTAATTATTGGTAAGAATCAGCATATATCTACATTTAGTAGCTAGAACTGTTTCCCCACTCCTGTGTAGAGTGAATTAATTTTCCTCTAAGCACTTTATAAAAGTTGGGTTTTACTTTTTTGGCAAATGTGACAACTTTTGACTCACTTAGTGAAATGGGTATGTGATTTACACTAGTGCACAAGTCTTGATAGTATAGGCTATTCTGGACTTTGTTCAAGTCATTTGTACTTTGCAAATTACACTGTGATAAAGTATTGATGAATTTATGGTCCTTTCAATGTCAGTAGGAAATGTTTTTGCAAACATCTGTCAGTTTTTCAATTTTAATCTTGGATTTAATCTCTACTAAAAAATGAAAAACTGTAAAACTTTGCTATTTTCTCATCTAATTTATAATGGTGGCTGCTTCTCATTCAACCATTTTTTTTTGCAGCAGATATTGATCATGAATAAAATTATGTGTAACACCACCTTTCACAAACAGGGTCACATCTTTGGTCACAGTCACCAATTAATATAACACCTTTTGGTCACTGCCTACACCTGGTGGTGTAACCATGTTTAGTGGTCTGGTCCTCAGGGTCTTAGGATGATGTTTTAACCATGGGCCTAACTCTGCGCTGGTCAATGCTGATGCTGGTCCAAGATGGTTGTTGGTCGCTGGCTGCTTCAATCTCAGAGCAGTGGAAGATCGAATGTTGTTGTAATGGCAGCACTAGTTCAAGCTGTGGTGAGTGCTACATTAAGGAAGAAAAATATCTTCACAACAAAAAATAAAATGAGAGATCCATGGAGACAATCTTCAATTGGTTTACATAGTTCTTTGTAAAAAAATTAACCCTTTCTGCATCAATTTCTATAGTGACACTGAGCCTTGTTTAAACTTCTGGATGAGCTGTGTTCAAAGTTCTTGGAATCAGGAAATCTGGTGGCAGCTGACATAGATTTTAGAGTCTTTCAATGCAGGTTCTCAGCCCAAGTTTCTGAACTCCCAAAGTCATCTGCTTATGTACACTTTGGCCCAAAACTGGCATGAAGACTGAAGGGTTTTTGGGATTCAATGATTCCCCAATCCTCACATTAATCTCAATAAAGATTTACTTTGTTCCCTATTTCTGCTTTCTTAACCAACTTTCCAAATTTGGAGAATTATCCACCTTCCTTGGGAGTAGCCACAGGATTTACTCCTCCCTTAACTCCAGCCTGCTTCACATCTCCCACCACCACTCCCAAGAGGTGGAGCTAAATTCTGCCTCTTCCTCCTTTCTCGGTATTCTAACTCTGCCTACTTAGAATACTGAGAAGGAATAACTGGCATAACTGTCTTTGTGACAAATCTAATTTTTAAAGTGCACAGGTGAAAGGGCATAGTTTATTTTCCTAGTTAACTTCAGTTCTCTGACTCCCTTTCTCTCCCCCACTATTAACTCTGTCCAGCAAGAACACAGACCAGATCACTACTTCCCATTTTAATCTTCTAAGTGATAGATAAAAATTATTTCCCAATTTGTTTTTGTCAACAAAAATATATTTGTTTACCTAAATTTTCAACAAAGAGACACAATGTTCTCCATCCTTGGGCCAATCACCAGCTTAATGAAAAAATAAACCGGACCACCTGCCTGTTATGACAGGATTGATTTTCATAATCCTAACCCTCACAGCGGGTTCATTCTCTGTTTTCATTTCTCAATTTGTTTTCACCAACGAAAATATAATTTCCATCTGCCTCTCTTCTTGCCAATGACATGTGTTTTTCTAATTTGCCAAGAAAGAGATAAAGCCATTTCCCCAAATCTGTTTTCATCCACATGCCAGAGTCTCAATAGATAAGAAAAAGTAACTCTTAATGCATTGTTCCAATTCGTAGGGATGAGACAATCCCGCTGGCCCTTTTTCACTTCCACATTACCAGTGAAAATGTCTTCCATTGTCTCTCCCTATCTCTCTAGTTTATATTTCATTTTGGGCTAACCCCTTTTCTTCTTAGAATTAACAGTTAACAACCTCATGGCTTCAGTGTCACAAATGGGCATCCATTCTTGGAGAGTGCATTGCCTATTTCAGATGTGTCATTTTCAAAAACCAATGGACAATTAGAAGTTAATTGTATGGAAGTAGCAGATAATATTCAAATTCCTTTCATTGTTAATCAGATGCATCCACTGCATTTGTGATAATTCTCCTGTTTGAGATATTGTTGGATTACTGCTCCTTGATGATAATCACAGGTGGTGTGAGGTTTGAAGGACTCTTCCTCTGACTTGCAAAGTGACAAAATATGTTCTTTCTTGCTCCAATAGACATGAAGCCATGTAAGTACTTCATAGACACAGACTGAAGATTTTTCATAACCTTAACTTTGTTTCTTATATTTACCCTTCTATAACATTTCTGGTTAATACATTTATTAATTTATGTTTATTTGAATTTCATGTTTTGTGTTTTATTTTTACATGGACTCAGATGAATCCACCAAATATTGTTTGTGGGACAAATGTACCAGAAGGCATAAAATGAATAACTTCCATTCCTGCTTTAGTATAAACCAGTGGTTCTCACTTGGTTTTTGCCCATGTATTCTTTTCCCCATATTTCAGAATGTCATTTTTTGAACATTGTGGACTAGTGCTACAGATTCACAAACAAAGAACTGTACTAAATAACAGAAACTATATCACTTAAGAACAACCAACAGCAGCAATAACTAAAATGGATAGCGGATGTAACTTAAAGAGGAAATAATAGCATAATCAAGATATTGACATTCCACACTACTTCAAATAAAAGGTTAGGAAGGAAATATCTGTCAATAGTGGAAAGAACGATAGTAAGTACTGAACTTGAAAAACCTATTTTCCTGAAAAATTGTTTTAAGAGAAAGATTTTATAAAATTCAAACAAAAGAACTACTGGCTGTTCAGTCAATGAATGCCAAATGTTTCATTGTAGACAAGCAGCTAATATTACCATTTTTCACCAATTTCAAGATTGTTTAACTTAAAAGGTGCATTGTAGAATTGTAATTTGTAGAAAGGTTAATATTCCAACATTAATATTCCTGAAACCCTAAAATTCACTTCTCGCTGATGACTGTTGGTATAAATGCTAACATTAGGTATGTATTTTGCCTAATAAGTAATAAAGTCAATAATAGTGTTGAGAGAATTAAAATTGATTAATGTTTGGAAGGTCATTAAAACTTCATACCTTTTTGGATCAAATTGAAGCTTGCCATTTTTGATGATGTGGCTGAGAAAAGTAATTTAAGTGAGAGCTAACATTATTGCTTATTGAATTGCATGGTAAAGTTTTTGTCAGCTTTCATGAATTCAGCTCAGTTTTTATCATCTTTACAAATTAAAATTTCGTTTATATAAACATAAGTAGTCTCCAGACTGTGACTGGAAATAAATGTGTCCATTGCTATTTGAAAAATCAGAGCTATATTAGTGTAACAAACAAGGATTTACCTAAAGGTTCAAAAGTTGTCAAATGGCATTCAGAGGAGAAGCAATGCACTGAGTGATAAACATTTTGAAGTATTATAAAAGAGAAAATATATTCTGAATGACTATCTAAAAGGAATTTGTCTGTTGAATGTATAAATCTGTTCTTAACCTGGATTTACACCAGGTGTTTGGGGTGAAATTTTTATCTTTTCACTGGTTTTTCATTTGTCTGAATTATATTTCCATTTCATATATGCTTAATTTCATTTTTTAGGAAATTCATATGTCAAGGCAAAGTTCAAAAGTTTTTTGATAATGATTTTATTTTATTTAGATCTACTCTTGGCTTTATTCATTTATATGTGCACACATACACACACACATATGTATGTGCTACACATACATGTAAACATATCTTCATATATATATATATATATATATATATACATTTAGTTATCAATTATATGTGCATTTAATGTCTTTCTTTTGAATTTCTTAGGATGAAGATGATGACCCTTCACCTAATTCTCGTGTTGGACAGTTGTATTTATTCCAGCTGGACCCTGAATCAACTGAAGAACCGCTAACCATTTGTGAAGAGATTGACCACTCAGGTATATTGGACATAAAGTGGTATTGTTCAGCTCTGAATGGATATCCAACATTTGGCATTGTCGATGCTGATGGTCAGTTATCTATGTTTCAAGTTATGGGAGAAGAATCTAAGAAATTAAAGCAGATTTTTTGTGAAGATCTTGGGCTAAATGTCCTTGGGCTGTCCCTAGATTGGTCAAAACCCATTCGAGGCAGGTATTTGCATTTTTTTTTATTCATCTACTTTAATATTTTGTATCTAAATATTATCATGGCAATCTGTTCTCTAAATTAATCTTTAATATTTTGTTCTCTAAATATTATCATGGCAATCAACTCTAGCACACTTAGCTCAGTCTAATTGAAGGAATTTGAAAGTGGATATTTGGGTGAAATGGCATTGCATTCTTAAAATTTTGCTGAGACATATTTGAGTTACTTCTCTTGAATCTTGTTTAGATGAAATTATCCAAATGATAGAAAATAATAATTTGTTAATTTATTAAAGCAAAACGAATAAACATTGAACAGTAATAATCTTCAAACTGATCTGAGGCAATGTCAGGTGACCTTTCTTGGTTTGATTATTTTGGTGTATATTTTTTTTACTTTCAGTGATATTACTTCTGCTTTGCTAGTAGCATCCAGTTCTGATGGGAAATTGTCCACTTGGCAAGTGAGTGATTCTGGCCTGGAAAAATTAGCCTACTGGAAGGCTCATGATTTTGAGGCATGGATAAGTGCATTTGATTACTGGAATCCAAATTTAGTTTATTCAGGTGAGAACAACACAAGCATTCACTTATATTTGTTTGAGTTTCCTTCAAGTACAAAACTAGAAGAAAAATCAGACATGATATATTTTTTTCTCTATTTTCTTCATTTTTTCATGCATCAGTCAAGGTACCTAGCATGAGTGTTACACAAACTTTTATTTTGATTATTGTTCCTTTTTGTTGTATTCTAAAGATAAAATTTAAGAATATAACTTAGTTTTAGTCACAAATTCTTGAAATTATTTATTATGCAAGGAAAAATCATGGTTCCTACCAAGTGAGTCATTTTAGAATTTCAACTAAAGTGAAATGGTTCATAATGTGTTTAAGCATTTGGTTTAATTTGTGTACAGAACAGGCAAAACAAATTTGTAGTTTGCATATAAAAAATCTTTGTTGTCATCAATAGCTATTGCTAGTTAAGAGCAGGACAAAGTTCTTTTCCATATCTTCCCATGATGACCATGACTGTGTTATACTTTGCCTTACCAGCAAATTCCTCTATTTCATCTATCTAGTTTTTCATAATGTGTTTGCTACCCATTGAGAATGAAATAAGCTTTCATTACATGTTAACATTTCTTGTATCCCACCTATCTCCATTTTTTCCTTAACCCTGTCAATAATAGCTCATATCTGGATCTGTTTTCTCATCCATTTTCATCTAGGTTATTTATTAGACTGTAAGCACTTTTGAGTGTTATTCATATATGTTTATTAGTAATACAATAAGGTGATAGTTATCAAGATGTTTATTATCTCCCATTTCTAAAGTAGGATTACTATTTCAAGACTGAAATTTTGAGGGACTTTTTTATATGTACTGGGTAAATAGCTTTGCTAATTAATCTTTTGCAGAATTTTTCTACATCTTTCAAAATGTCTGTTACTATGTCATCTTCACATAATATTTTTCCACATTTCACATTTTGAAGGGCAAAACTTATTTCATTTGCTGTTACCTCAGAAACATCATTAGTATCTATTGGAGTGACTGTTGGTGGTATTATTATTTTTGAATCGTGTTGGTTTGCACTGCACTCATGTTATTCTTAACACTTTTTCCCAACATTTAATAATTTTTCTCTTTCTTTCTTTCAATACAAGTAATTAATGTTTATTTTTGTGCATCGTAGAGTGAGCATATTTTAAGTTATTTCTTTTTTCTTTTTCTTTACTTTTTCCCCTTTTCTTATTTCATTTCATTTGTTCCTTTGTTTAAATCTGCACTTTCAATTTTTTCTTTCTTAGTTTTATATCCATATTTCTCCTCTTTTTTTCATCACTTCTAATATTGACTGAGTATTTCCCATTGTTATTTCTTGTCATCTCTGCTGTTTCTTCAATTATAATTGCCAATATCTTATTCATATTTTCCATTATTTTTGTTATTCCACAAAATCTGAAATTTGTTTTTGAGTTATACTTGAAATTTATTGATGTTCTCTCTGGTCTTATCAGAATATGTTTCTCTTTGAGAATCACTTTCTTTCTCTTAATTTTAAAGTTACATTTGACCCTTTGTTTATGATAGTTACACCTTCACTTATGTTCACTTACAGCTTTGACAACAATTGTGATGTTACTTTAATTTTTGTTTCTCTATTTGGTCTTTTCCAAGTTTATTTTGCTTCTACACTAGATACTCTCCCTTTTTTCTTACTCATATTTTTGCATTGAACTCACAAATCAAAATAGTGCCATTTCTTTGTTTTTTTGTCTTTTATGTTACTGATGTTGTAAAACCCTGCAAGTTTTTCATCTGAACTTTTTGAAGTCCTTTCAAATACCTAGATTATTTTACAATGTATCATTTGTATAAACTAATTAATATGTAAGCTACTAGTATAAACTAATTAATATGTAAGCTATATTTCTATATTTTCTATATTTCTATACTGCCCACAATGTCACTATTAACTAAAAATCCTAGATGTTTCTTTACTTTCAGCTTTCCTTTCTTATGTGTTTTGCTAATACCTACAATGTGCCATGTGATGTTGACCTATTCTGTCATTAGTTGGTCTAGTTTGTAGTCTTCTGCTATGCTTTGAATGTTATATTTTAAATTCTGCTTTCATTTTCATGTTGGCTTGTATATGTATCTATGTTATATTTTTTCATCTTCATGTTATCAATTATTTGTCATGCTCAGATAATGTCTGTTCACTATCAGTTGCAAATAAAATGGTGTGGTTAGACCTTTGGTAGATTGTAATCCAATTGGAACATTCTGGTATATATATATAGTTTTGTTGTCATTTTTGGTATTACAAAATTAATGACTAATTGAGCCCACCTGTTGCCACTAATTTCTAGTGAACTTAATGGGATGGTTACCATAGATTAGGGTCATCTCAGAGGTCAATCATTCCTTAGAAGCCATTATATCTTATCTCAATGAGTTAAAACGTCTGTGTGCAATTTTGAAAAGTATGAAAGATGTGCTAATTCATAGCCTGAAGGAGACCCTTAGTACATAGTAGTAATTAGCATAGAAAGAGAAGAAACATTTACAAGTCTGACTAGTTACAACAAATGAGATCAAACCAAAGTATCTAGACAGAATCAAGGAAAATGTGGCAAATATGAAAAATAAGCAAAGGGGAAGAAGTGGATGTTGTTAGGAGAACTGATTTTACAGGTGAAAGGTAAATAGAATTTATATTGTTTGAAAATAAGGATGAAAAAGTGAATGGCTTTATATTGTAGATAATTTTGAGATTATTTTTCTTTGACTTTTATGTTCTAGCCAGTTTTACTGACCATTTAAAAAATAATCATAATTTTCAACTTATTTCAAGTTTAGCTTTGTAATTTGATATTGTTGGTGTGTGAGAGGGGGGGGGGTTTTTTCCATGTGCGAAAAAATATGTGAAATTCTTCAAAACAAGGTAGTAAATTTTCTGCAGTAAGCAGACAGACATCTTCCCAATAATAAAGCTGCTAATTATGATAATTAAAATAAAAAAAAGAGAAAATATATTTTGTGTGAATACAGAATTGTAACTCTATCCTATTTCCTTCAGGACATAAGTGATCATGGCACTTTGCAGATTTTGTTTGTTTATTACCTGTGAAAAGCTTTGACTTTTTGCAGAAGATAGTGGTTTCTTGTTGCCTTCTCCACAATTCAAACAGAATACAAGAAACAATTTAAGAAAATGATATTTTCTCTTCTACTAATCTGTTTAGAAATTTGTTTTTTATTGCCATAATTTAACTTATTTTTTCTTGTTGAAATTTGCTTGACTGTTTATTACATAATAAATCCTCCAATACAGCCTATCTTGTTTGGCAGAATTTCCTATGTTTCTTTTGCATGTGACAAGAAAGGAAAAGAAATAACATTTTCTATGACTGATTGTTGTAATTAGAAGTTCAGCTGGAGAGTTAATTTTAAACAGCTCTTTTGAATCAGGAAATATAGGTTCACAACATTAGTTTCTAACTCTCTGATTTAAATAAGCCAAGGAGATTTAAATGATCCTTTCCTCACAGAAATTTGGATCATAAAAATAAAATTCTTTTAATAAGGTAACGCAGCAATACAGACAGGAATTAATTTTGCATCAATCAACAATAATCAAACAGTTATCTGAAGAGAATATGTATAGTAGAATAAATATAATGGAAATTTCTGGAATAAGAAAAATGGAAGAAGGTTCTTAATTACATAATATAAACATTTTTAAATGAAGAAAATAATGCTTGCTATCTAAACAATTTAACCAAGAAACAAAGATTATGATTATGAGGAGATTCTTAAAGGATGTTTTGCAATGTAAATGTCTTCATAAGATTAGAATTACAGAAACATATAATTTCAATAAGTGAATGAAGTGGCTAATTCAATGAGTCATGTTGAAATAAGCACCGTGACATTGCAGCTTAATGTGTCTCTATTAAATGTAACTGAAGAGTCTTGTCATTTTGGATAAGACAGCATGACTTATACGAATCACAAGACAGGGGAGGTAATCAGGTTGTCTTACCACATTTTCTCTAGCTTTGCTTTCTCCTAGCCCAACACAAAATCATCCAAGCAACTGGGTCTCTTGACATTTCTCTGAAATTGTCTCAGTGGATGCTGATCTGGGCTTTCAGGTGTTACATGAACAGTTGACCAGAAGTATTTCATCTCATATTGTTTTTGTCTCCTTCTTGGAGTGGGATGCTCTGATTCTGAAAGCTGATTATCAATCTGTAGTAGTAGGCTTTCCTTCTGAGGGAGCTATTCTGGTGTTGATCTCTGAATCAGCCTCAGGAGAATCCAATGGTGTTGTGTTGTCATCTACTCCCTCTAGTTTGATAACTCACTAGCAGTGGCCAAATCTCTGAGGGAAATGTTCTATTGTCTCCTATCGGAGTGCTGGACGTGTGCATAGAGTAGGTTCACCTCAAGCAGTTTCACCTTACTCACAGGAGAATCCTACTTGCTTTGTCAAACATGGTTTCTAAGTAAAACAGTACCTGGCTATGAGAGCCACAAAGGGAGGTAGATCCTGGCCAAACTTTACTTTGGAAATTTAAAAAAAACTTTCATGAGGTGTTGCATTAGTTCTTGAACACAATAGTGTTCTTATAGTGTACAGAGCCCCAGTTATTATGTCTTCCCAATGTCTAATTGGAATGTTTTGGTTTTCAAGTGCTAATGGAATGGTCTTCCATATTATGCCATTGTATCTCTTGCACTGTCCATTCTCTTGAGGATTGTATGGGGTAGTCTGGCTTACAGCCACTCCCTGTACCAATAGGAACCTTCTTAGTTGGTTGGACATAAAAGAGATCCCATGATCTGCATGAATATAAGCTGGCACTCCAAATATTGAGAACAGTGTGCAAAGACAGCATATAACCATTGTTGCACTAACATCTGGACAGGGAAAGGCAAAAGGGAATTGCAAGTACTCATCAATGATTGTAGATATTTGTTTCAGGATTTAGATGGGAGAGAGCTCATGCTCAGCCTCTCAAATGGCTGTGTAGCCTTTTTGCTAGGG